AAAGGAAGAAGGATTGGAGGTTGGAGGAGAGAAGAAAAGGGAAAAAGCAGCTGAAGAGGTGGGAGAACACAGAGAACAAAGGAAATGTGGTCCACTGGTGGTCAACATACAGAATGTTTGAGGGTCACATATTTAAGAAAGACCAGACAGGGCCTCCCCGGTGGCGCTGCAGTTGAACGCTGGGTTGCCAAGCTGCCCGCAGCCTCTGCAGGGCCCGTTCGATCCCCGGCTGCTCCCCGGCCACAGGAGGAGGGTCCTACATGGCGTGCAGACCTCTCCTGCCACCTGCTGCTCCCCTCAGCAGTGTACTTCGGTCCTTCTGCCTACTCTGCTCCCTGCTCTGGCTCTGGTGAATTCTCTCACCCTCCCATGCTTCTGACTGTACCCAGTGCTTGTATAAATAAACAAATAAATAAATAAATCTTTAAAAAAGAAAACAAAGTAGATGGTCACAGGGTGACTTAAAAAAAAAAAAAAGAAAGACCAAACAGCTTGGAGGTATGTTTTTTTTCCCAGCTAGGTTCACCTGTCTTGGGTGCATGTTGGCGAAGGCACAGCAGTCGGGTTTTACCAGACGGGTATGATGTGGAAGGACCGGGGAGTGGTATGTGCAAGGGACTGATTATAATGATGAATCATAGAATCAGAACTGGGTAAGCAGAAATGGATAAATGTGATGGGTGTAGGGAATAATGAAAAGAAAGTAGGATTAATAGATATGAGGGTCAATTTATTCATAGGAGGCACAATGTCCAAAATCCTCAATATTTTCAGCAGCTCACAAAATGTTTCAATTTTAATTTATTTTAAAATCAGAAGATGGGCCTCCCCTGGTGGCGCAGTGGTTGAACGCTGGGCTGCAAGGCTGCCCGCAGCCTCGGCAGCGCCCGTTCTCTCCCCAGCCTCCAGCAAGGGTCCCACCAAAAAAAAAAAAAAATCAGAAGATAAAAATAAACATAATACAAATAAAATGTCTATATCAATGTAGTCATAAAATAAAATTCTTGATATTCTTTGTAGAGTAAGTGGCCTATGCAGGTAAAGCGCATATGATTCAAAAAGGTTTAATGTGATCCTTATGAGTGATTCCAGTGAATCCAAATTCAATATTTTTTATTGCATTTATAATGGCAAAAAGTACACACAACCTAAGTACCCAGATTTGGTTGAGTCCAGGTATGACTGAAAAGATTAGAGTTGGTAATAGAAAAGTAGGATTCTTAAAAAATTCAGATTATGAGGCCTTCCTGGTGGTGCAAGGGGTTAAGTCACAACCTATGAAGTTATCCACAGCCACTGTAGCACGAGTTCGAGCCCCAGCCAAGGAGCTACCCACATGGCGCAGCAGACCTCTCCTGACTTGTCCGCTGCTCCCCTCAGCAGTGTGTTTCAGTCAATCTGCCTGTTCTGTTCCCTGCTCTGTCTCTGGTGAATTTTTCACCCCCCACACCTCTGGCCTGTACCCCAGTTCTTGTATGCATAAATAAATACATCTTTTTTTAAAATTCAGATTATGGCATATGTGAAGCTATTGGTAGGTAACAAGGTCTAGGTTGAAACCATCCTTCTCATTGGAGAAGAAGAAATCAAAGAAATGGGTAGTTGATTGTGTTGGTTATCTTGTGCTCCATTAGTAGTGAATTACTCCAAAACGTAGTGACTTAAAAGAACCACATTTATAGACACAGGGTTTGGTAATATGAGCTGGGCTCTGCTGAATAGCTCTTCCCTTGGTCTTCCTAGGCTCACGCGTGTGGCTGCAGTCAAAGGGAAGCCTGACTGGGACTGAGTAATATGACTTCATATGTCCAGTGGCTATTGGCCAGCATGGTTCTCCATGAGGCTTCTCACCTTCTACTAGGCTATACCAGAGTTCTCCATATGACGTGTCCTAAGAAGATAAAGGAGAAATCAGCAAAGTCTCTTGAGGCCCAGACTCTGAGAATTCACACAAGGTCAACCACACATTCTATTAGTCAATAGTCAAAGTAAGTCACATGGCCGGCCCAGATCCCAAGAGTTGAAAAATAGATTCCACCTTGTATTGGGAGGAGCAGCACAACCATTGCAAAGAGTCAGTGTGGAACAGGAAAGTAAGGACCATCTTTGCAAACTATCATCTTTACAGGGAGAATTGTCTATGTGGTACGGAATCATCAAGAATCACCGGGCCTTCCTGGTGGTGCAGGGGTTAAAGACAGTGCTATCAGCTAATCAGCTATCACCACCCACTGCAGCACTAATTCCATCCTCATCCCTGGCCAGTCAGGGAGCTACCCACATGACATAGCAGACCTCTCCTGCCTCCCCCACTGCTCCCCTCAGCAGCGTATTTCAGTGGCTCTGCCTGTTCTGTTCCCCACTCCCTCTGGTGAATCCTCTCACTACCCCCTCCACCCCCACACCTCTGGCTTACACCCCAGTTTTTTTTTTAAAGATTTATTTTTTATTTATACAATAGGAGGTACAGGCCAGAGGCACGGGAGGGTAAGAGGATTCACCAGAGACAGAGTAGGGAACAGAATAGGCAGATGGACTGAAAGCACTGCTGAGGGGAACAGCGGGCGAGAGAGGAGAGGTCTACAGTGCCCTGTGGGAATCTTCCTGGCCGGCCGGGAATCGAACCCATGCTGCAGAGGCTGCGGACAGCTTCACAGCGATGTGCTCAACCCACTGTGCCACTGGGGAGACCCTACACCTCAGTTCTTATATGCATAAATAAATCAATCTTTAAAAAAAATAAGCAAGAATTTGAGGTGGGAGTGGAGAGAATGACAAGCCAGGTGTTAAGATCTTTAAAGCATGAGGGAGCAACAAATGATATATAGTCTGCTGCCATCGACTTTCAATGCTTCAAACATCTTGATTGTTTCATAAGTAAATGTCAATGAATTTCATTAGTGAAAAGGAACTTCATTTTTCACATCTTTGACTCAGATTTTATCTTAAGGAAGTAATCTAAACAATGGGAAAATTTTTAAAGACTTTTTTTTTTTTTTTTATAGAGGCATGCTTTATTTATTTGTTTGCTGGTTTGTTTGTTTGTTTTGTTTATACATGCACTGGGTACAGTCAGAAGCGCGGGAGGGCGAGAGAATTCACCAGAGCCAGAGCGGGGAGCAGAGCAGGCAGAAGGACCGAAGCACACTGCTGAGGGGAGCAGCGGGCAGCAGGAGAGGTCTGCGCGCCATGTGGGACCCTCCTCTGGTGGCCGGGGAGCAGCCGGGGATCGAACCGGCGCCGCAGAGGCCGCGCGCAGCTTCGCAACCCAGCGCTCAACCGCTGCGCCACCGGGGAGGCCCAATGGGAAAATTTTTATGCATGAAAATTTGTGGTTCAACTATCTGGAAGCTGCATCTCTAATACTTAGGATGATGTCAGGCACATAGTAACACAGGTACTCAGTAAATATTTATTGAATTTATAAAGACACAAAAGTGAGTTCGATTCACAGCCAGGGAGCTACCCAACGGCACAGCAGGCCTCTCCTGACCCGCTGCTTCCCTCAGTGGTGTATTTCAGTCAGTTTGCCTCTTCTGTTCCCCACTCTGTCTCTGGCGAATCCTCCTACCCCAGCTCTTGTATGCATACATAAATAAATCTTTTTTAAAAATTAGTCCAGGGCCTTCCTGGTGGCACAGGGGTTAAAGACAGCACTATGAAGCTATCCCCAGTTCGACCCCCAGCCAGCCAGGGAACTACCCACATGGTGCAGCAGACCTCTCCTGCCTCTCCTGCTGCTCCCCTCAGCAGTGTATTTCAGTAGATCCTCCTGTTCTGCTCCCCACTCTTTCTGGTGGATCCTCTCACCCACGCACACACACCTCTGTCCTGTACCCCAGTTCTTGTATGCATAAATAAATAAATCTTTTTTTAAAATTAGCCCAGGGGATCAGTCCCTGTGCACTCTGTCTGGGGCATTGGAAAGTTGCTCTGCACGAGCTAAACATTCCTCCCTCTATGTTTTGAACTTAAAGATGGTGAAATCTGTACCTGAAGGATTAGGGGTGGGCAGTGGCTTTCCTGACTTCGGTACTCTAACCTTGCTCTAACAAGAAACAGTTCCCTGTCCTTGCCTTGCACTTTCAGATGTCCTTGAGCCATCAGCTTTAGGGAGAATCCTCCCACACTCCCCCCACATAACACTCTCAATCCGAGCTTTGGGTCTGGGCAGTTGACATTAGCCTGACGTCTATAATGAATATGATCTGGAACACAGAAGTGGAAACTTGGGGGTCATATAGAGTCAGGGAGACAGCCCAGCAGTGGTCACGGAAAGGAACGGGAAGGGGGAAGGAAAGTCAGAGACTTGGCGGCGAGGGCACCGGGGGTGGAGCTGACTCGATTTTGGAAGGCTGTGGAAGGCAATAAAAAGAAGCTGAGGGGCGGGGAGAAGAGCGGACAGATAAGCAGTTGATGTAGGATTTACAAACGGAGGAGGCGTGGACTGGTGACAGAAGGAGGGCGGGGAGCCGCAAGTGTGCCCTGAGCGTGCCCGGGATATATATGAGAAGCGTGATGGGAAGCGGACTGGTAAGAGCAGGGATGGGGCGCGGGCCCAGAAAGCGGGGGTGCAAGATGGGAGAATAATAGGACTGCACCTATTGGCCGCCACTTTACGGTCTGCTTCCATACAGACTCCCATAATTTTCTCCTTTCGTTGAAGAAAGCGAGGTTCGCGAGGTTAGGAGGCAGGGGGGTGGGAGCCGCGGAGGCTGGGGCGAGCGCTGGGGCGAGGTGTGCGCCGTGCGTCGCCGCGGGGTGGGCGCCGGGCGCGGGCAGACAGCGGGGCGGGCGGGCGGCAGCCTAGGGAAGAAGGGAGGAGGCGGGCTCCGGGGGCTCACGCCGCCCCTGGCAGGCGGCCCTAACGCGAGCGTGGAGCAGCCGCCGCGCCGGGTCGCCTGGAGCGCCAGATTCCCGAGCACTGGGCTCGCGTGGCAGCCGCCTGGGCGTCTGGCCCCGAGGCCCGGTAGGGGCGGCCCCACGCCCGGGCCCGGCCCCCCAGTGGAGCCCGTCGGATCCAGCCTAGCTTTGCGCCCGGGGGCGCGCCACCTACCAGTCCGAGGTGAGGACCGCGAGAGCCAGGGCGCGCCGGGCGGGGGTCGCTCCGGGGATTTCAGGCCGGGGGTCGCGGCTGAGCCGAGTGCGGTGGAGAGAGGAAGGGGTCACGGGAGCGAGTCCTGGGCAGAGTGGGGGAGGAGGGGACGGAGACCGCTCGATGCCGAGAACGGCCCCCGCGTCCCCTCGGTGCCCGAGTCCGCCTCTGGGCGCCGCTGCCAGCCAGTGGACTCCATCCGACTGCGTTCATAGCTCCCACCCATGCCGCGCCCTGACCTCGCTCCGCGCTGCCCATCCTCTGCTCCTCACCCGGCGGGCTCCCAAGTTCCTGTCTGCAATCCCCTCGCCCGCTTAACCCCACCCGACCCCGCCCTCCCGCTGCCCCCACCCCTCTTCTGTCCTGACGCCCCTCGCGCGCCTCGATGCCTGTCATGAGGAACCCGCATCCTAGCCGCGGTCTCCGCGTCCGGCAGTCTCCCAGCCCGTGTCGTCCCACAGGTGTCCGCACGTCCGGCCTTTCCTTCGTCCGTCCCACCTGGGGCCGGCGCCGACCATGCCCAGCGGCTGCCGCTGCCTACATCTCGTGTGCCTGTTGTGCTTCTTGGGGGCACCGGTTCAGCCTGCCGGAGGTGAGCGCGCCCCGGGGCTCAGGTCCCGGCCCGGACCCGCGGTCCCTCGCTTGCACGTTGACCTCTGCCGGCCAGAGACGGCACTGCAGCCGCTCCTACCCGCGGGGCTGGAGAGACCCAGGTGGTTCCTTTGGATAAGATGGATCTCTTCTTTCCTGAACCCCCCCCCCTCAATTAATGGAACTTTGCATCCTCTCCCGAATCCCGCATCTCGGAAAGCCTCACCCCTCCCACATCAATCTCTTGCAGCCGATGACTGCAGCTCTCACTGTGACCTGTCCCACGGCTGCTGTGCGCCTGACGGTTCCTGCAGGTACCTCTCCAGAACATGTGTTCCCAAACCCTTTGCTCTCCATTTCCCAGTCCTTCACACCACAGCCAGGTGAGGCCTCTGGGCAGAGTGTCTAGGGCCTTAAGACCTTACAGATCACTCCTTATTCGCTGAGGGCCAGCCTCTCCCCCATTCCCACCTCCCCTTGCCTTCTTTTGCTTCTAGTTTATGTCTTCCCATTTCTTGACTCTCCCAAAGACTTGGAGGATCCAGGAATTCTGAAACATACCAGGAGAAAGACCTGAACGAAGCTTGATAGTGTTTGGAGGTTGGGATCTACAGCAGGGGGAGATAAAGGAAAGCTAAAAAGGGACTTGGTTTAGCCCAGAAAAGAAAGGCAGCCGGGAGGGTTGCTGGGGAGAAGCACTTATGAAACAGGATCTTTCTGGATGCATTTGAGTAATTGACTCACTGGGGTGGGGGCTGGGCAAATTCTGTAGTAGAGGAAAATGTGTCTGGACATAGGGAAAGAAGCTGATACGGCAAGCTGCTGGAGGAACTAGGGGTTTTGCCACCCTCCATCCTTGGGGGCTTTTAACAAATCAGTCAGGCATTTGTCCTGGAATCAGGGAGGGAACAGTCCTGATGACCTTTCAAGGTCACTTTTGAAAAAATGTTTTTGAGTACCTCAGATGTGCCAAGAGTAGTGTTGGAGGCATTTACAGACATCTTACTTAACACATCCCTGCTAGGTGTATCCCCGATTTACAGATGAGAAAACTGAGGCTCAGAATGGTCAAACTGCAAAACCAGGACTTGAAGGCTGGTGTCTGAAGGTCTGATTCCATGTATGCGTCCTATGACTACCTGCTTTCCCTTAGGGGCTGTTACATGTCCTCCTGTGTTCTAGAAGCTCTGGTCCTGCCTCCTGCATTTCCTCACATCTCCTGATCCCAGACTCTGTGCTTCTCCCCATCAGGTGTGACCCAGGCTGGGAGGGACTGCACTGTGAACGGTGTGTGAGGATGCCTGGCTGCCAGCACGGTACCTGCCACCAGCCTTGGCAGTGCATCTGTCACAGTGGCTGGGCAGGCAAGTTCTGTGACAAAGGTAGGAAGTAGAGGGTAACTCTTGGGCTGGGGAGCCCCATGTTTCTTGGGAAAACACCCCAGCCATATTTACTGAGCTCAAACCCTCAAAAACCCATGGTATTTTATCACTTTAGACTTTATACCTATCTGTGGTCTGAAATAGTCTGCAACATAACCCCATGAGATAGGCCAGGCAGCTGCCAATGATTGTACTTATTTTGCAGATGAAGAAACTGAGCCCTACAGATGAGATACAACTTGCCCAAAGTCATTTTCAGACAGAATCAACAGTGCCAGGGCTAGGAGACTCATGACTCCGAACTCGTTTCCCCTCATTACACCACACCAACCCTGGGGTTGGGCTATAGTACAAGCCACATCCATAGAGCCTTGGGTGGGGCTCAGGTAGGACTGGGTGCCACATATAAGGGATTACCCTGAACCTTCCATCTCCTCAACAGATGAGCACATCTGTACCACACAGTCCCCCTGCCGGAATGGAGGTCAGTGCATATATGACGGGGGTGGCGAGTACCACTGTGTGTGCCCCCCAGGCTTCCATGGGCGTGACTGCGAGCGCAAGACTGGACCTTGTGATCAGGCAGGGTGAGTGGGACCTTAGATGAGACTCTGGGGATGGGACAAGGACAGAGGCAGGACAGTTGAGAGGGTGGTGGATGAAGTATTAGGGCTGAGGGTTGGAAGTCTCATATGGGGGCACCAGAGGATAAAATCCCAGCCTGCCAAAGTGTCCCAAGTCAGGATTTTTCAGCTTTTTTGTACCACTGAACCATTTCTGTACAAGGAAAATTGTGGGAAGGGTGGGCATGGGGAAGGTGAGGATGCCCTCACCTCCCAGGAGCAAGGGAGCCAGCATGCAGCTCCTAAGGATGCCCTGTACAGCAGTCTGCAGGATGAGTGAGGAAACAGGCCTTTAGGGCTAGACTTGTCCTCATTTCTGCCTCAGGTCTGTGAACCTAGAGAATAATAATAGCACACTTGCCTCGAGCCTTGCCTTTAGACCAGGCCCTGTGCTAAATGCTTGTCACTAGATTATCTCATATAACTCTCACAATTTGGGAGACTGGATGCTATTCATACTCCCATTTTTTGAATGAGGCCTTGGAGGGTCCATGACACAGCTGGAAAGGGAGGCAGGGTGGCAGCAGTAAGGTTGCTGGCCTGAGCTACCCTGCAGTGTATGTCAGTATTGATGTCCTCTCCCACCCTACCTCAGCTCTCCGTGCCGGAACGGCGGACAGTGCCAGGACAACCAGGGCTTTGCCCTCAATTTCACGTGCCGCTGCTTGGCGGGCTTTGTGGGTGCCCACTGTGAGGTGAATGTAGATGACTGTCTGATGCGGCCCTGTGCTAATGGTGCCACCTGCGTGGATGGTATAAACCGCTTCTCCTGCCTTTGCCCTGAGGGCTTTGCTGGACGCTTCTGCACCATCAACCTGGATGACTGTGCCAGCCGCCCATGCCAGAGAGGAGCCCGCTGTCGGGACCGTGTCCATGACTTCGACTGTCTCTGCCCCAGTGGCTATGGAGGCAAGACTTGTGAGCTAGTTTTACCTATCCCAAACCTGGCCACCACAGCGGACATACCTCTGGGGCCCACCTCAGCTGTGATGGCACCTGCCACGGGGCCTGTGCCCCACAGCGCAGGGGCTGGTCTGCTGCGGATCTCAGTGAAGGAGGTGGTACGGAGGCAAGAGGCTGGGCTAGGTGAGTCTAGCCTGGTGGCCGTGGTGGTGTTTGGGGCCGTCACTGCTGCCCTGGTCATGTCCACAGTGTTCCTGACCCTGCGGGCCTGGCGCCGGGGTGTCTGCCCCCCTGGACCCTGTTGCTACCCTGCCCCGCACTATGCCCCGGCACGCCAGGACCAGGAGTGCCAGGTGAGCATGCTGCCAGCAGGGCCCCCCCTGTCACTTGACCTGCCCCCTGAGCCTGGAAAGACCACAGCACTGTGATGGAGGTGGGGGTGTTCCGCCCCTCCTCACCTCCACCTCTCAGACTCGAGTAATCCTCACCACCCCTCAGCTGGGGTACACATATTGAGGGAACTCAGCCTCATAACAGAAATATTATTTTTTTAATACACAGAATGTAAAATGGGAATTTTATCAAATAAATCTATGAAAGTACAAGTGGGTTCCTTTGCCAGAAAAACCTGCCTAGAGTCCCAGATATGAAAGGTCCTGAGCAGAGGCCTGGTTCTGGGGCATCTTGGGACCCTGCCATCCAAGAATGAGTAGTTTCCAAAGTGGAACCCGGGAGACCCTCTCCCCTCTGGGGAAGTGAGGGAGAACCAAAAAGAATATAAAAGAGCGCTAATACCTTTGCCCTGAGGTGGATAAGACAGGGGAGACCCTGGAGGGTGGGGGTCAGACTCGGGGCCTTAGGGGGAGTACTGGGTACCCTGTTGGCTGCTCTGCAGCAGCTGCTGGAACAGCGAGTGGGGCTGGCTGCGCAGGGCGGCAGGGGAATCCAGCTCCACAACCCTCCCCGCGTGTAGCACCAGCACCCGGTCCGAGTTCAGGATCGTGTTGAGCCTGTGTGTGAGAAGGAGGTGGGGGAACGGGAGATGATTCCTTCTCTCTAGACAGGCTTTAGCCCTGGCTCTGTGCTAGGGGAGGGACTGCAGTTTCCCTCCAATCATGTACTTGATCAGTGTCTAGAGAATAAGGGGCTGAGATTTTGGGGTGGGGGGGGCTGGAATCTCAAGGGCCCTAATCCATGGGGTCCCTGAAGAGAATGGAGGCTCTGGGTTCATGACACCATAGTTCCTGATTAGATTCTCCCACTGGACATTGGCATACCTGTGGGCAATGGTCAGCACTGTCTTGTTGGCAAAGCGTCTGCAGATGGTCTGCTGGAGCAGCTGGTCTGTCTTCTGGTCCACGCTTGCTGTGGCTTCATCAATACACAGGATCTGTTAGTTGTAGAAAGGGTATGGAAGGGAAGAGAGGAGGTTAGCTTTGGCTCCTAATCAAGCATTACCCCACTTCCTATGGTCCCCCGAAACTTCTCTCAACCCTCCTTCTTACCCCTAACATGCCTTCTGCCTGCTTCCTGGCCCTCCAATGTCTCTTCCTCTTGTCTTACCTTGGCATCTGTGAGGAGAGCCCTGGCCAGACACAGCAGCTGCCTCTGACCCAGGGATAAGCTTCGGCCTCCCTCGCCCACCTCACCATCCAGACCACCTGCAAAGCACAGTGTCTTCACCCCCAGATCCGGATCTCTCCCCACTTCCACCACCCTGCAGGGTAGGGCCTACTACTCACCCAGGGATCCGATAACATCACTCAGGTGGCACTGCTCCAGGGCCTGCCACAGGACTCTGTCCTCGTGCAGGCTCCGGGGGTCCAGATTTTCCCGAACAGTCCCACTGAACAAAAAGGGCTCCTGGGGGATGATAGCCAACTGGGATCTGGGGGACAAAGAGGGGATAAGACATGCAGTCTAAGCTGGAGATATGGACACTTTTGCTCCCAGCACAGGTTTTAGCTATAGTTCTAGCACCTCTAGAAAAGCTTGGGAATAAGGCCTAAACATAACCCCCACACTGGTCCCACCCCACCTCCAGCAGGTGGTTGGCCATGAACCTATAACTGTGTCTTCGCTGTGACAAATACCCAAGGCATAAACTGTCCTTAAGGAGCTTAGCTCTCACTGAGGTACCAAAAATGGAACAAGTGTGGCCTAAACTGTGGCACTGGCTCCAGTGGACACTGGGAAAGCAGTTGCTGGAAAAGAACCATCACGAGTTTGAACAGGTAAGGGGTACTTCAAGGTTTAAGGCCCGGAATTGGGTGCAGGCCCGGAATTGGGTGCTGAGAAGCTATCTGATCTATTAGGTAAGGGCACCACAGGTTAGAAGAGAGGCCAGGACCAGGACCAGGGCTTGGAATCAGGCAGGCCTTTAGGACAGAGCTCCTCTACCTTTTTCATGCCATGGGACTTGGCAAAAATGACAACTAAGTTGGGCCTCCCCTGGTGGCGCAGCGGTTGAGTGCTGGGCTGCTCGGCTGCCCGCAGCCTCTGCAGCGCCAGTTCGTTCCCCGGCCGCCGGCGAGGGTCCCGCCAAAAAAAAAAAAAAAAAAAAAAAAATGACAACTAAGTTAACCTGGGGTGGGAGTAGGGTGATATTTAGTCCCTGATGAGGCCACTTGTGGCCAGGAGGCAATGGGTCCAGGTCTTGAGTTACCCTGAGCACTGACTTCCAGGGCTTGGGACAGGGTGGAAGGGAAGGCCTGGGAGGCAGTGATCTAGGAGGTAGGGACAGGCGGGGGGTGTAGGCTAGGAAGTACAAGAAAGATGAAGCAGGAGAAGTGGCCCTGGATAAAGCTGAAGATCTTGAGACCAGCTATAAATCTGCACCCGAGCACAAGGCGCTCTCTTTCCTCACCCGCCTGTCCTCCCCTCCATCTTACCCCTGATGCACCCTGGCTGCCCTGAGGGCACATAAAGCCTTCCTAGTTGGGTCTTCCTATCAGATTAAGCTCCTTCTTCCTCCTCCGGACCTGAGCTCGGCCAGCTCCAGCTGCCTGGTGTCCACGCCGTCCAGCAGTACTCGCCCCGAGCTGGGCTCCAGCAGCCGGAAGAGCACCAATAACAGCGAAGACTTGCCGGAGCCTGTGCGGCCCACAATACCCAGCTTCTCTCCAGGCTGCACGCGGAAGGTCACTCCATCCAGGGCATTTGGCAGCCCTGTTCGGTACACCAGCACCACGTCCTGGAACTCCACGCTCCCCTGGGTCAGCCAGCCGACGCCCAGCTGGTGGGGTCCATGGTGGGGGATAAGAGAGATGGGGAGGAAGGAGGGAGGGTGGATGGAGGGGAAAGAGAGGAGAAGAATAAGTGAAAAGTGAATGGTGAGAGAGGAAAGGTAGGGAAATGAGGACAACAGCGGGGTCCATGTAGACAATGGAAACAAAGATGAGGACACAGTGAAAAAGGGTAAAGCTCAAATGGGGATATTAACAGAGCTGAGGAAGATGGTGAGGAGCAAAAGGCACAGAATGGGGAGGGGGCACTTGAGCCTTAAGGAGGGGCCTTCAGGGTTCCAACACCTGGGGCAGGGTGTAGGCCTACCTGTAGGGACTGGCCTTGAGGCTCCTGAGGCAGGTCACAGGAGTACTCCTCCAGCCGTTCCACACTCACCAGCATGGCTTCTGTCTTCGTGAAGCTGCTCACCAGGCCCGAGAGCAGGCCCGTTAGGGACAGGGCATAAGACAGCGACAGGCCCACCAGTCCTGGGGGAGAGGAGCACCAGCGCTAGGGTGGGCTTGGACATTGGGATGAGCACGGGCAGGGGTGGGGCAGAAAGGGAGAATCCAAAGCTGTGGACTGGGCATTCAAAGAAAGCCAAGAGAGAAGTCAGGAGCTATAGGACTAAGTCTAAGATCACAGATATAGATGCAGGGGAGTGGGGTAGGCCTGAAGAGGCTAGCTATGGGGGGAGGGGGCGGAGCAGGGTGCTGAAGCTGGGGGTAGAAAGGGAAAGGGATTGAAGGTGAGAATACTCGTAGTTCCAGATCACCACTGCCTGAACAAGTCACTCTTGGAGACTCAATTTCTCAAGTCTAAAATGGGAATGATGACGGAACCCTGGGTGGCAGGTGAAAATGTTGGGGGCATTGTTCAGGGAGAGGTCTAGGGCAGGGGTGGGAAGATGCTGTGGAGGTGAGGGTATAGGGCCCGGGTGGCACCTGGGTCAGCGAGGCCCTGCTGGTGCTGCACCAGGGCGATGCCTGCGATGGCGCTGACCACTGCGGCCCCCATGAGCTGTAGCCGAATGTCCAGCCACTGCATCGTGGCACTGGCAGCAAACTGGCACCTCTGGTTTAGCTCCAGAAGTCTCTGGTTCTCCTCCTCAAACCTGGGGGAGGCCAGAATGGAATCAAGGCTATTTCATCTTGCACTGACCTACCTAGACTCCTTCTCTGCAGGAAACTTGCAGCTGGGAGCTTATCCACACCCCCACAGGCCTTCCGTTTTCTTCCTCTTTCCCATACTGTCCTTAACTATCCTTCCTGCTCAAGAGGCCTGAAACCCCTCATGTTGCATGCCCCTCACATCCTCCCCACCCATAGCACCTCATCCCCCTGGCTCTGGCTTGGAGAGGCAGACTTCACACACCTGCTGGTGGCTCCGGCAGCCCGGATCACTGGGAGGCCAGCCAGGGTGTCAGCCAAGTGGGTGTAGAGTGGAGACAAGGTGAGGCTGCCCAGGCGCCGCAGCTCTCGTGAGGAGGCCCTGTAGTGGCGCTGCACACGGTAGTAAATGACGCTCAGAGGTGGCAGCAGCAGCAACAGCCAGGGCAGGCCAGAGCCCAGCACAACCAGGAGGCCCAGCAGACCTACTGCATTGGCCAGGAAGATATTGAGGAGGAAGGGCAGGCTGTCATCTGTACAGGCCACGTCAGAGGAGAAGCGGTTTAGGACCCGGCCTATGGGCGTGGACTCAAAGAAGGTCACTGGTGCCTGGAAGAGATGTGGTTGGAACAGGGCAGGGTCTGGCAGAAAAGGTGTTGGGGGTAGGCCTTCAGGGTGTGGGTGGGGGGTAGGAAAGAGCTCTATGGTAGAGAATAGGAAAGGAGTAAACTGTCCCCAAAGTTTGGGGGCAGAGGGGAGAGGTGGGTGGAGCCTGGAAGAAGCACAATGAGGGTACTTTCCCATCTTTCTGGCCAGTGGCCACCCTGACAGGCCACGCTGGACATGCTTACTCCCCTTTCAAGGGCAGGGATTTAATCTCTCTCCAGTAGATAGGCCTGTGAGATTTAGTCAGCTGTCAGGAGGAACATCCTGGATGGCTCGCAGTAAGACAGTGGTGAGGGCAGCGGGTGAAGTCAGTATTATCTCACAGCTAAGCGCTCAGGTTCTGGAGCCAGACTGTTACTCAGATTCTAGCTCTGCCACTTACTAGATGTGAGACCCTTAACCAAGAACTAAATCTCCGCGCCCCCCACCCCCATCCCTCATTTTAAAAGGACAGGTATTTAAGGACAAGGAGAAAAAGAGAGGCACCTGCATGGTCACAGGTGGGCAAGAGAGCTGCCAGGAGCTAAATCTCTTAAGAGTCCCTACTCCTGGGGCCTCCCTGGTGGTGTAGGGGTTAAAGACAGTGCTATCAAGCAATA